CGCCGAGCGGGCGGGAGCCATAGGCCCTGCCTAAAGGGCCCTGGGCTGGGACCTGGTGGAGAGGGAGGGCCCGGGTCCCCCTACAACCCGTTTTCCCTTCCCTGGATAAACAAACCCCGGGCCAGGAGAGGCTTCTCGGAGCAGGCCTCTAATGCCATATGTACCCTGGTAGGGGGGCATGGACTTTACAGTGAGACTGGTAAGGTCGTATTTACCCTGATAGAGGGACCTGGACTTTTGTGTTGGGACTACTAGGGTTGTATTCACCCTGAGAGAGCGGGCAACGGGCCTGTAAGGGAGGGGGCACACCCCACGCCAGGGGCGTACCCCGTGACAGGCTGGCGCAGTGGAGAGCCCAGTTCTGGCCAGACTGGCACAGCAGAGCGCACAGCCTTGGCCAGGCCTGGAAGCCGAACCAGGGCTGTCATGGTTGGGGGCTGTAGGCAGTGGGGCTGCTCCCTGCCGGGCCAGGAGCAGAGCCCAGCAGTCAGGGCTGGCACCTGGGAGCAGGGCTAACAGCTGGTTGGGGAGCCTTTATCTCCCCTGGTCCAGACAACTCCATAGTTCAGGACCACTCAGGTCCTGAAGGTGCTGGACTAGGGAGGTCCCACCTGTATATCTTTTCCATAAATGATGTTTTTTTACTCTATAGAATCAGCATGGTTTATCTGAAGCAAAAACTGGTAGAGAATATTATTTAATATAAAGAAAAACAAAACAACATAAAATCACCAAACCACCCAACACGTTTCCATTGGGGATCTGGCATTTGTGCAAGGAAAAACTTCTTTGCTTATGTTTGCATAAGGTTAAATTCTAATGCTACAGAAATGCCTTTAAAGAGACAGAAAACAGAAACATATAAAGGAAATGAGAACATAACATCACTATTGTATTTCCCATAAACCTTGAGGTCCTACCCAATCCTTACCAGCAACCAAGCCAAAAATAAAGAGTGAACAACAAAACCTTTAGCACCTCATTGCAAAACACAATACTTGAATTGGGGTCATTCAAATAACTATGCACAATACAGGCAAGCATGCTGTAGGGTACTGAAAGACAACACAGGAACTCAGAAAAATCATTCTTACTCTGTCAACAGCTGATACAGCTTCTGATAACCCCGCTCCAAGGCCAAACTAACAGGCGTAGCCCCTTCGTTGTTGTGGATGCAAAGAGCTCCTCTTCCACCTGGCTGCTGTAGCAGAAACCATGTCAATCTCAGCAGGCCCAGCCTCACTGCAAAATGCATCAATGTCTCCCGGGGGCTACTCTCTGTGAAGAAAGAAAAAGAAAAAGAAACATGTAGACTATAAAAACCACTTCCCCACATCCCGGCTACTGGAGTTGAGCCATCCTCACACAAAATACAGTACAATGGTTGGCACATATCTAGTGGTTGCTCAGAGCCAGAAAGCTAGGCAACATAAACACTGAAGCACCTGGAAAAACATATGCAAAGGATGGCTTGTTCGAATCCCGACGCAGCTGGCACTTCAGAAGAAGGGGATCACCACACTGACTTTAAGAGTGCTCAGACCTATCAGGATCAGGCCTACTGCAGAAACCCAATGAAAAAAGGAGTAGTCCTAAAAGGGCTTGATATTTAAAGTATTAACTACCTATAAACAGAGGTCAGTAAATTCTAGTTGGCTATGTCTGTCTGCACGTGCTGGTACTTTTCTCATACATAATACTGAATCGAGATTTTGGCAAAGTCAAATTTGGTGTTTAAAGACATATTCCTCACTGGACACAGGAAAAATGCTACACTGCAGGCATAAATCTGGAGCAGCTATAAAAAAAGAGCAGCCTACACTTTCTCAAAGAAAGTAAAAAGTGAGGACTTTCTTAAAGCAGCTTTACCATGCACATCTCAGCGGATACAGAATTAGTCAGAAGTTGTATAATTCTAAGTAGGAGCATTTGTTAGCTGAGCATTCTCCTCCCCTTTTACATTTAAACATCTATGGTCTTATTAAGTTGATTAAAATATCACTGGGCCTAAGCTTTCATCTACGAAAAATAAACTTATTTTTTCCTCATTCAAATAGCTGAAGTCCTAAAAGAACCTTGCTCTGAACAGCAATAGTTAGAAATGAGCTCCAGATGCACTGCTGAAATATAGTATATGGAGATCAAAGCTTTGGGGTTTCTGTACCCAGAACATGGACATTTGCATTTTTAAATCTGCAAGAAGATATACAAAAACCTAAAGATTCAGTTTTACAAATTAATAAAGAGTTTCAGCATTGACTGGTGTAGCTTTAAAAGGCAACCTTTCCACTATTGTAAACCAAATGAGTAAATAGATTCAGTTAAATATTCTGAATATTATAACAATTTATAGGCTTATTAATTTGGTCAACAGCCAAACCAATAAAATCACATTATAATTTTCAGAGGGACAGCAATGTTAGTCTACCTGAAAAAACTTAAAATAACGAATAGTCTTGCAGCACCTTAGAGACTAACAAAATTTGTAAATGGTATCATGAGCTTTCATGGCCACAGCCCACTTCTTCAGATGAAGCGCACTATAATGTGAGTGCAAAATACTTCTACGATTTAATCAGGTAATTTCTCAAGCACATTCTCAAACACAGTACAGACTGCTAGCTCCTTTGCTCAGCTGGGATTTAAGGGATATCATTAAGGCCTTTAGTCAAAAAACAAGAACGAAACAGTGATGTCTCTCCTTTTTGCCATGTAGCTTTTGCTGAGCTTCTTAGCTGGCTCAGCTCCTGCAGAGCCTAATTTGTATTCAAGAATCAAAAGCTTCCTGACAGTCTCTACCATACAACTCCAAATTAGGGCTTAGACAACTTGCTTCCCCCACCCCACCAACACACAAACACACACCACTCCAATCCCAGCCTCCTCCTGATGGAAGAAAACATGATATATGTGAGCACGTGATGCTGCTATACAAGGTTCTGACTGGTTACAGAGAAAGGATATTCTTCAGACATTTGAAGCCTGTGAAAGTGCAAAGAGAGGAACGTTCCATAGCATGGTACTTTACAGATGAATGAGGAGACAATGTACCTAATCAGAGGACATTAAATAAGAAATAAAAAAGATGGTCAACTATGAGAGAAGCAAAATGGGGGCTGAGAAGACGCTAAAAAAGTTGCTGTGGGAGGAACTCTTCCAGATTGGAAAACAGCAGATTCCAAAAAGATTTTCCTAGGAACTTGTCTACACATAAACATTGTACCATTTTATCTGTATTAGTACAGTTAAAGTAATATGACTCTCCTACCATGGATACAGTTGCACAAATCCAAGATCTTTTGTTTCCTGTTTTTGCATACTACCTTTACATGCAAGGATTCATATATGTTACACTAATGCCTCTGAATACCCGTCTACTGATTGGTGACCACTGTTTTACACTAATGCCTCTGAGTACCAATGTGAGAGAGTGCAGTCTTCTACGAGAAGAGACGGCACTTGCTGTGTAGAGCACATTAAATGTAAAAACTCGCCACCCAGCCAGGATCTGACTACCGTGTGAACTGGCATCAAGCCATCCTAAAAGAGACAAGCACGAATGATGGCAGCCAAGAGACAAAGTCCAGTACATGCAACAACTGGTAGTGCTCAGGGCAAGAGTCTTAGATGAACAAATTTCCAGCAACAGACGGTGCAGAACTCATGGCTAGTGTTAAAAGGGATGCGCCATCTGTGAACTGGATTAACTTTCCAAAATAAAAATGCATCTGTCACTCTGATGGCTGCTCAAAGCAAGTTTACACACTGCTTGCATCAGGCCTCGTGAGGAATGTGGGAAAAATGAGGAAGGCAAAGGAATTAGCTTTCATCAATTTTATTTATTTATTTATTTATTTATTGCCTATCAACAGGGGAATCGGGGCATTGGACTTTAGAAATTCAGGCAGAGGTTTGCTTGAAAAGATTGGCACAGAGAAGAATGCCCATCCCAAGCATGGAAAGCATAGAAATTACGTAACCATTAGCGGGGATTAGCTGTAGCTGTTCATCATAAATGGCTGAAAGTGGAAATTTAGCAGGGGTCTGCAGAATCACCAGGCAGCCCTTAAAGTGGTAACACAAAGCCCTTTCCAATTAGAGAATTAGAGAAAAAAAGTACATGTAATACTGGGGAAGTTAAGGCTATTTTGTTCTTTCTATGTCTCCTTATAATAGGCAAGGCTTAAAACATATGATTAGTGCCCCATAATGAAAGAGTACTCTAATCCAGCTGGCTAGGAATGCACGATTTTTAGAGCGTGGTTTTTTGGATAGGTTTTGTTTTGTTTTTTTGGTTTGAGTTTTTTCCCCCCTTTTGTTTTGTTTTTTGTGGCAGTCAAAGCAGATAAATAAGCAGGCAGTTTAGCTGGGTAACTTAAGGATCAACTTTCAATTGAAAAATGTCAAACTCACTTTGTTAACTGACAGGAATAAGGTTTAAGGTGCTTTTAAGCCAAAAGAAACAGCCTCTTAGGAAAAAAACTTCAGTATGACTGAATTGAGAACATACAGTGTTCCCTGAACCAGGGGCTTCATTTTAATGAACTTGAATGACAAAAAAAACATGCTTCCCATGAAGAGATACAGAGTTAGTGACTGTAGAAGTCCCACATGGAATCTGGCACCTGTCCCTTGCAGCCCTCCCTCTGTGAGAAACTGTCCTCTGTCTCACTTAACTCAATCCTCGCAAGTAAGTGGGGCAGGGAAGTAGAAACATGCCATATCACAGATCATGTGGCCATCTGGGACTTAACTAAACAGGCAACATTAGAAAAGGAGACTAAAGACAGAGGGACATTGTGCTTCAAAGCACTGAGATGAAACACCAACTCAACTGAAAATAATTGATTTGTGGACAATTCTTTAAAAAAATCTTATAAGCTGTGATTTTCAAAGCAGTGTCAGGGACTGAAATGCTGCAATTCTGGCTAATTTTAAAGGGAATCATTACTGGTTTTGATATCTCAGTCACAAAATCTCTTAGGGCATGTCTACACATCGAAGTTAATTCGAAATAACAGCCGTTATTTCGAATGAACTTTAATAGCATCTACACAGGCAAAGAGCTATTTTGAAATAAATTCGAAATAGCAGGACGCTTAATTTGAGTTTGGTAAACCTCATTCTATAAGGAGTAATACCAAACTTGAATTAGCTAATTCGAAATAAATGCTGAGTAGACACTTATTTCAAAATAGGGGGCCTCCAGCCTTCCCAGTGTGCCCTGGTGGCCACTCCAGCCTCAACCAAGAACACTCCACTCCCTCCCCTCTCCCTTAAAGGGGTAGACTCTGGCCACAGTGCCTGTGCCAGCTCCAAGCCTGCCAGCGCAGAGACAGCAGTCACTGCCCCTGAACAGTGGCCCCAAAACATGAACCAGCAAGCCACTGGCAGGCAGCCCTCCACCGCTCCCCACGAGCA